TCCAGCCCCATGCAAAGGGATGCTGGAGAGGGCGGCTACGGAGGAGTCGGGGGTAGGGTAGCTCACCCCTTCCTGCCAGCTCCTCTGGCTCAGGAGACCAGAGTCCTCTTCCTGGCAATTCTCCCAGCGTAGGCAGCTACAATCACCCACCCTCCCGCCCACTCCTCCTGTTGGCTCTTCAGCTTTTGTTAGTTCCTGTGGGGCCCCCAAACCTTGGAGCCCACTCTCCTGTCTCCCCACCTTCTCTGACATCCAGTCCCTGATGGCTGTGTCTGTCTCTGCCCTCCTGGACAGGTGACTCCAAGGACAAGCTGCCTCCTCCAGGCAGCCCTAAAGGTAGAGGGTAGGGACGGCCTGACATGTGGGGAAGGACGGATGGAAGGGGTGCATGACAACATGGAAGGGCGCAGACACAGGTGGGTGTCTGCGCCTGCGGCCATCAAGCCCCTCCCCGCGCCATACAACTGACCACGGGCTTCCCACACCAAGCTCGTCTCCCTACACATGGGCCTGAGGCCTCCCCAGGTCCCACTGGGGCCAGACTCAGGGGTGTGGCTCCCCTTACCCTCTCCAAAATGCCAGAGGCTGGGCGAGATCAGTAGGTGACCACTGAGATACCAGCTTCAGTGGGTAAGGAAGGGACACGGCCACATGGAGTATGAGTGCTGCTCTGCATTCTGCCCTTCCCCAGTCCAGCCATCTCCAACGGCCTCCCTCCCTCCTTTCCTTCCTTCCTTCTCTCTTTCCTTCCTTCCTTCTCTTTCTTTCCTCTCTTCTCTTTCTTTTCCTTCCTTCCTTCCTTCCCTCCCTTCCTTCCTTCCTTCTCTCCCTTCCTTCCTTCCTTCCTTCTCTCCCTTCCCTCCTTCCTTTCTTCTCTCCCTTCCTTCCTTCCTTCCTTCTTTCCTTCCTTCCTGCCTGCCTTCTTGCCTGCCTTCCTTCCTGCCTTCCTCCCTCCCTCTCTCCCTTCCCTTCCTTCCTTCTTTCCTTCCTTCCTGCCTGCCTTCTTGCCTGCCTTCCTTCCTGCCTTCCTCCCTCCCTCTCTCCCTTCCCTCCCCCCTTCCACCCTCTCTCCTTCTTTTCCTCCCTCTCTCCCTCCCTCCCTTCCCTCCCTCCCCTTCCTTTGGTGGTACTGGGGTTTGAATTCAGAGCCTCACTCATACTGCCAGGCAGACACTGCTGCTGAGCCGTGCTTCCATTCTGGTTTTCACTCGTTATTTTTAGGACAGGGTCTCACTTCCTCTGAGGTGAGACTCGAGCCTGAGCCTCCATCTGTGTCTATGAAGACAGACTTTACTGCCCAGACTGGCCTTGAACTTCCATCCTCTTATCTCAGCCTCCCACCTAGCTTGGGAGTACAGGGGGTGTGCCAGAACTTCCAGCTATGGATTAAGAGAAGCCATTGCAGCTTCTGGACAGTTCCCTGAGCCAGTCAGAGGCGGACGCATGGGGGAAGGTTCAGGAAATGATAGAATTTCAAGCTGGGAGACCCCTGGGGGCTGCGGGTCACACTTCCCCATGTTACAGCTGGAGGACCCAGGAAAGCCTGGCATCTACTTTGTGCAGACTCACACATGTGTGTCACCTTTGCTATGGTGCGCCCTTGGCCTCCAAGTTGCAGAAGATGGTCTAGAGGTGGGTGGGAGGCCCTGAGCACTGGGCCAGGAACCCCAATAGGGATTTAGAGGAGAAGCACGGCCTGGGCTGGCTCTGCTCAGACTTCTCCCTGGAGCCCTGGTGTCTCGCAACAGGCCGGACAGCAGTGGTGACTTCAGGACCAGCCTGTCTTGGGCTGCCATGACAGAGGAGGGGCAAGACCTTCCCAAAGCTGGGGTTGTCAGCTGCTCCCCACTGGACAGGTTAACAGACAAATGGCGGGTGAGGTGCCTCTGGGGGGGCTCCTGAAATACCATCTCCCCTCTGTTGGTACCCCAGGAGGAGGAGGGCAAAGTCATACAGGAACAGGAAGTGGCTTAGGAGAGCTTCTGGCCACACACCCCAGGGTGTAAGTTGGAGCTTTGGGTAATGAGTGATTTGTCTGTTAATGCAAGAATAAAATGTACAACAGCTGGCCTTGTATCCCAGCACCCCCACAAAACCCGGGGCCCCAAACACAGAGCACTCTGACTTAAACCAAGAGTGTGGGCATGAACCCCAAACCCTCAAAGGGCCGGGTGGGAGTTCCTTTTCCTATGATATTGCCATGGTGGATGTAGAGTTCTCATTCTTTCTCTCCCTCTCCCTCTCTCTCCCTTCCCTCTCTCCAAGATCCCCCCAAAGCGAGTTCAGGATTTGAAATCTAGAGCCTAGGCTTGGACCCCCAGCATTCTTGGGTTTATTTATCTCTGCCTTGAAGCTGTGTGGTTCCAGGCCGCCTGGTCCCCCCACTGCTGACTCAGCGGCCTCAGCCCAAACTCATAAAATCCTATTTCAAAAAGGTCCAATGATTTTATTTTCTGATCATAAATATGAAATTTAATTAGCAGCTTGCTGCTAATGATGTCGCCATGGAAGCCAGCGTGGAGACACAGGGAGTCGCATAAAGCAGAATCAAATCCTATTAACTCTTCACCGCTCCTTGCTCACTGGGCTGGGGCGTGCTCCTTCCAGGGACTCTGTCTACAAGCTGGGGTGGCAGAGGGACAGACCAGGGCCAGGAAAAGCAGAGACAAATGTTCTCGCTGGCAGAGCTGGATGGGGCTGTGGCTCAGAGGTCCCTTTGTTGGGTCTCGGGAAGCATTCTGCATGCTAGCTCATTCCATGTGCCAACTTGACTGGACTAGTGGCTGCCCAGAGGGCTGGTAAGACATTTCCAGTGGGTCTGGGAGGGTGTTCCTGGAAGAGACAAGCCCTGGGTGGGTGAAGCTGGCCAGCCTTCCTCAATATGGGCGGATAGGAGCCAATGTGTGGAGGACCAGGAAGAACAAGAAGATGTGGAAGGGCGAGCTGTGTCCTTGAGCAGGGGCCTCCATCTTCTCCCACATTGGAACATGGGAGATGCTGGTCCTCAGGTCTTAGGACTTGAGAAAATCATGCCACCCCCATTTCTGTGTCTGTCCTGCAGGAGGCCCGTGGGGGGAGGGGCTCCTGGGCCTGACTCAGTTCCTGGAGTGAAGCCCCTTTTTCCCTGCCTCTCTGGGTCCTATTGCTTCTATTTATCTAACACCCTCTGCCCCCATCTGTGCTCCACTCCTGTGATGGCTTCATGTCCACAGCGGAGACCAGTGTGCTGTCTTTGTAAAGCAATTCTTGGGAAAAAGCCACTGGAGTGGCTTGGCCACACTGCTGCTCAATTCTGTGCTGGGACAGAAAGGCAGAGGCCGTGGCTGGGGGCATCTGCTGGTCTCTGGCGGCCACTTCCCCGTCTCCTCTGCTCACAACCCAGAAGGTCAGAGGGACTACCCAGTCCCTCCTCAAACTTCCTGAAACTCCTTGCACCCAGCACCCAACCTCTCTCTCCCACTCTGCCTGCCCTCAATCTCTAGAAAGCAGGAACTATGGTGCACACAGGTTGTGGTATGTGAGGGGTGATGTAGTGCATTTCTAAAGCCCAGGCCTGGAAATACAGTTGGTTTCCCATAAATGAAGAGTTCTCACAATCATGATTTCTCAAGACAAAGACCTGAAGGCCTATTTGGAGTAAATGGACTGTTTCATGTATTGTTCAAGGTGCTGGGGTTCAAATGTGATTGTTGGAGTTGGGTATGATGTCTCACATCTGTCATCCCAGCTACTAAGGAGGCAGATATTGGGAAGGTTGTAGCTTAAGGTTTTCCAGGCATGCTGGGATTACAGGAGTACACTGCCATACCCAGCCTCGTGTAGCTTTCGACGCTGAGCTGGTAAATCTGTCAGTGATAATCCCTTGTGCTGGATGCCCAGCAGGAACTTTGGGTGCCCAGCTGCGTTTTCCAGCACAGCCATCTCAGAGTAGGTACGGCTTGCCCCTGGGAGGTTTGGAGGACCACAGTCACCCTAGGGCCTTCCCGAGTCCCATTCACACTCAGGTGCATCTCACTCCTGACCTCCAAGTCTTCTTGACTTCAGGCTTCAACTCCTGGCTATCCTAAATATGTTCCCTGTCCTATGAGCACCTGCTCAGAACGGGGAGAAGAAATATTCCTACCAGAGCATTCCACACACTAGGATCTCTGGGTATGTTGGAGACAGATGTTTCTGGCAAAGAAGGGGGGTGCACCTGAGTCCCACTGCTAGCCTGGGCTGGTAGAGCACTTGCTTAGCACCAGCAAAGTCCTGATTCCTGCCCCAGTGCTGCACAGAACACAAATAATGCCGCCAATCAACCAGCTAACAAAAGCAGGAAGAAAAACAGCCCTGCTTAGAGATGGGCAGATTTGTCCAGAGGGCCCAAAGCCATAGGCTCTGCAATAACAATGCCCAATCCAAACCCAGACGCTTGGAAGTCTGCAAAAGTGGTGTGTTTGTTTGTTTGTTGTGCTAACTGTACTAGTCTGCTGTAAATGAATGACTGACTGAGCAGCTTGAAGAGACCTTGTTGGGAGCTTGAAGGTCAAAGGCAAGGTCAAGCTTAAGGTCAAGTTCAAGGTGTAGCAGCAGGGTGGTTTCCTGGGGAAGCCATTCTACCTGCCTTCCAGACATCCACCCCCCTGTCACTGCAACCTCATCTGGTCCTTCCACCTTCCTGTGAGTGCCTTCCTTCCTCTTCTGCATTTCCCTTCCCTTCTTATCTCCTCTTCTGTCTCCTTCCCTCCCTCTCTCCTTCCATCCATCCTTCCCTTCCTCCCTCAGGGCCTGGGAGCTGTCCCTAGCTGTTTTACTCATGGTTAGCACTCTATCACTTGAGCCATGCACCTAAGTCTGGCTTTTTGCTAGTCATTTTGGAGATGGAGTCTTTGGGACTTTTCCTGTCCAGGCTGGCTCCAAACTATGATCCTCAGATCTTAACATCTTGAGTAGTTGGGATTCCCTTCTTATCTCCTCCTCTTCTTTATCCCTTCCTTCCTCTCTTGCTCCCTTCCTACCTTCCTTCCTTCTTTTCCATTGAGCTCAGGGCCTCTAGAGTGAAATTCAAGCTTGCATTGATAAAGCTCTCTCCTGGAAAACAAACAAACAAACACCACGATTCTCTTTCCAATGGTATTGGGACCTGAACTCAGAACCTCTTCCTTTCAAGGCAGGCAACTTAACACCTGAGTCACATCTCCAGCTTGAGAGCCTAGATCTCTAAGAAGCTCCATGTACCATTCTTAGAAGATGATCTCAAAGTCTTGGCCTTCTCCCTGAGGCTGGAGCTTAGGCCTCCTTTCCTGGAATCTGGGATTATAAATGTTCAACATACAGAAAAGCTAGAGGCATGTGGTGCCAACACCTGCCCAGGCCCTAGCGATGGGGAGTCCACCCCCTCCCCGCGACCCTCCTCCCTCCCCTCCCCCCCTTGTCTTGGGCACTGAGTCTTTGTGTGTGTGTGTGTGTGTGTGTGTGTGTGTGTGTGTTCATGCGCGTGTTCACATGTGCTGGTATACGGACTTGAACTCGGCCTGGGTGCTGTCCCTTAGTTGTTCTGTTCATGGCTAGCACTCTATCTCTTGAGCCGTACCCCTAGTCTGGCTTTTTGCTAGTCATTTTGGAGATGGAGTCTTTGGGATTTTCCTGCCCAGGCTGGCTTCCAACGATGATCCTCAGACCTCAGCCTCTACAGTAGCTGGGATTACAGGCATGAGCCACTGGTAGTTGACTATCCTTTTTTGTTTTTTTTTTTTTTAATCTCACCCTTTAGTGCCGATAGCTTGCATCAGGGAAGAAAGACTATCACAGAAAGTGAGGCGCAGGGCTCGGCCCCCGCCACCTCTGGAATAGCGGGCAGTGTTGACAATGACAGACGCCATTTTCCAGGTCGCCTCTCACCAGCTGTGATTAATTCACAGCTTTCAGCCTGCTAATATTTTCCTGCCTTCTGCCAGTAATAAATAACCAATAAGCCTTAATACCTAGTTATTATTCATCCCTCTCAGATATTTAGATTTTGATTCTTTGCTGCCGTTCAATCATATTGAATTTCTTTAGCCAGGACAGCTTCATTAAGGGTTGCAAAAAGGACACCCTGGGCAGGGTGGTGGCGGTAACAGATGATGGGTGACGCGAGAGTTGGGGAGAAGCCACATGAAGTACTGGTAGCAGTAGGGGCAAGAAGAGGAAACTGGGCTACACAATGCCACCAAACCACACTTGAGGGGCATTCAAGGTTCCACACGATGGACCAATGAAACCAGGAAACAGTGAAACCCGAAAACCAGCCCCACTGGAATAGAATGATCCCAGCCACTTGAGAAGCAGAAATAAGGAGGATCACAATTCAAGGGCAGTCAGTATTTCTGATTCCATGAAACCAGGAAAAAGCAGAGAAGGCTAACTTGGAGGCCATTTCTCAGCCCCTGCCTCTGGGGCTGGGCTGTTACCGCCAGGTTAAAAATCCTAGGATATTTCCAATTCAAGAAGGCTTTCCTGGAAGGCAGCAATATTTGAACCCATTTATACTCTGGGGCCATTTCCAGAGTGATATTTCCACATGTGGACGATGACAGGGAGAAACAGTCACCTTGAAATGTAATGATCATGGGCAAGCACGGCAGCTCCCACTTGTAATCCCCGCTACATGGCATAAATGGGCTTTTTTTCTGGTCAAGTGGAGATAGAACAGACTTTTTTTCCTGGGCTGGCATTGAACCTTGATTCTTAGATCTCAGCCTCCTGCATAACTAGGATTGCAGGTATGAACCACCAGTGCCTGGCTTTGAGAAACAAATTTTAAAAAATCAAAAGGGCTGGCAGTAGTTGTGGCTAAAAGGTACAGTACCTGCTTAGTAAAGTATAAGCCTCTGAGCTCAAACTCCTGAAGCACAAAAAGGAAAAGAAAGAAGACCCTAGGCCGTGGTGGTCTTTGGTAAATTCACGTGGCTGTGTGACTGCCACCATCATCCAATTCCAGAACATTCTTCAGCACCCTAACACAACAGAAACTTTGCCTGCATTAGCAGCCACACCCTCTCGCTGTCGGCCTCTGGGCCTGGCAACCCTTCACCCATTTCTGTCTCTGTGGAATTCCCTATTATGATACTGCCTGGAAATAAAATTCTGCCTATGTAGAAGTCCGGATCTTTTTATTTACTATTACATTTCCATCATTCAGTGTGTGGTAGGTTTGTCAGGGATTCGTGGCATTAAAAAATTACTTTTTGGTGGTGCTGGGGCCTAAACTCAGGGCCTCACACTTGCTAAGAAGGCACTCTACTGTTTGAGCCATGCCTCCCTCTCCCCCCCCATTTTGCCTTATTTCTGAGGGTCTCCCTTTATGCTTGGACTGGCCTCCACTGTGATCTTCCTATTTGTGCTTCCTGTATAGCCTGGATGGTACGCATGCACTACGGAGACAGGATGGAGCCTCAGGCTTGTTGGTCTTTTTCCTAGGCTGGTCTTGAATTGCAATTCTTTGACGTCTACCTGCCAAGTAGCTAGGATTAGAGGCTTAAACCAGGCCTGGCTGGTCCATGTCAACTCCTTCCCGAGTTTACGAATCACATGAGATTGTGTATGCATGGGTTTGAACTCAGGGCCTTAGTCTTGCTAGGCAGGAGGCTCTGCACAGAACCACCACTTCCAGCCCTTTTCTGTCTTTTTTTTCGTAGTCTTGTTTTGTTTTCTGTTAGAGCCACCCTGGACCGTGATCCTCTTATTTTAGCCCTTCTGTCATAGCTGGAGTGGACAGGCATGTACCACCACTCCCTGCTTTTTATCGGTTGAGATGGGTTCTGGTTAACTTTTTGCCTGGGTTGGCCTGAAACCATGCTCTTCTCTGGGAGCCACTGCACGCAGCCAGGCAGGGCCTTTAAATTGAGGATGAAGTTGAAATGAGATTTGTTTTTTTTTGGGGGGGAGGAGGATGGAGCCCTAATCTAGTTGAACATTTGTCCTTTTGTGAGACAATGGAATTCAAAGGAAACAACGTTAAAAGGGACAAAGATTTCTATGCTCTGCAAGCAGGGGAGGGGAGGGAGGACCAGTATAGTTGGTGTAGTTTGTGTGGATGTATGAACAGAGAATAATGGAACCTGTTGGAATGGCTTGGGGGGAGGGGAAAGTGGAAGGGGAGAGGCTGACAGGGCCCATTATTCACAGGTGTGGAAATATCAAAAAATAAACATTTATCATTATCTGTCACTTTTTTAAAAAAGAGGAGTTACTAACTACTGGAATGCTGATAGATTTCATGACAGGCTTTGGCACATGTAAAGCAAAACTTATAGAAATATATAGAACATACCGCGATCAGAAACGTTCTGAAATCCCCTAAGAAGAGGAACCACAAGCTCACTCACAAACAGTTAAAATACTCCACAGGATCACTCTGTGGGAGCCCAGGACTTTGTGCCCACCAAGGCAGAATGAGAATTCTCTGTAAGGAGGTACAGGAATGTCGGACATGGCCATGTGTGAGCCCCTGAAGAGCAATAATGTGGAGCGGAACTCACGAAACAGCTATTTGCTGGCCAAAATGTAACAAAATTTTAGAGAATGCCTAAGACAGTCAGTCAGTTTCTTCCCATCTATACGCTGGAAAATTTAAAAATACAAAAAACTAGTTCTAACATATACATAGCTAAATTAACATGTAACAGTCAAACTAATAGGGAACTGTAGCCAAGAGGTGAAACATGAGGTCAGTCGGTGCCACTTTGGATGTTAAAACACACGATAAAACAATAAGGCTGGGGCCAGTGGCTCACACTTGTAGTCTTAGCTACTCAGGAGGATGAGATCTAAGGATTGTTGTTTGAAGCCAGCCCAGGGAGGAAAGTCCGTGAGACTCTTATCTTTAATCAGCCACCAAAAAAGCCAGGAGTAGAGCTGTGGTTCAAGGGGTAGAACAACAACCTTGATCAAAAAAGCTAAAGGACAGCGTCCAGGCCCTGGATGAATTCTAAATGGATCCTCTGCTTAAATCTGAATTAGAGCAGGAAATTTGTGGTCATGAATTAAACAATATTCTTGGGTATGTCTACAAGAACATAGAATGTGGGACAAAAAAAGATAAATCGCCTGGTGCTGGTGGCTCTTGCCTGTAATCCTAACAACTCAGAAGGCTGAGATCTGAGGATGGTGGTTCAAAGTCAGCCTGGGCAGGAAACTCCGTGAGACTCTTACCTCCAATGAAGCACCAGAAAGCCAGAAGTGGTGCTGTGGCTCAAAGTGATAGGACACCAGCGTTGAGCAAAGAAGCTCAGGGACCAAGCCCAGGCTAAAGTTCAAGCTCCATTGATCAAAAACAAGCAAAAAAAAATAGGCAAATTGAGCTTGGTAAGAGTTAAATAAATAAAAAAGATAAGGTCCCATGAAAAGAACACATAGACAAGCTTTAGACTGAGAGGTTATGTCTTTGTATCTAGAAGAGCAGAGAACATGAAAAAGCACCAAGAAAATCAACATTCCAGTGTGAAGATAGAATCAGCTCATGCAAAGCCAGTGTGGTGTGGCCAGCACTATGGAGTGAAGACTTGAGAGATCATGGCACCCCATTAGCACCCCAAATCCAAAAGGCTGCGAAGATCTGTAGCTATTGGAGCTCACCCTCACTGGGAGGGGCTACAAAACCACTTTCAGAAGTGGCTTGGAATTAAGCAATTCCACTCACTCCTACATATTTTTGTTATTGTTTTTTTGTTCACACAAAAACCCTATACACTCATGTTCACATACCATTGTTCATAAATTGCCCAACTGGATAAACCCAAATATCCAGTATAGACAGTAGAATATTACTCAGCAATGAAAAGGAAGAAGGCAATAATACAAACTGTATCACAGATAACTGTCCAAGGCTGAATGAATGAAGCCAGTCTTGAAAGTCTTTGTATTAGGCAAGTCCATGGATTAGATATTCTTGCAAAGAGAAAAGCATCAGACTGATGCACAGTTGAATGGATCAAGAAAATGTGGTGTATATATATATATATATATATATATA